AATTATAAAATTTAAAATATGAAACCGTAATTTATGAAATAAAGAACAATTATGATCTAAAGGGTATCAAAATTTACAAAAAAAAAAAAAAAAAAAAAAAAAGCTTAATACTTATTTGTTTACTTTATTAAACATTTCTTTCAATGTAAGTTAAGTTGCTTCGTTTTTTGTGCTAATACTTTCTCTTTGATTCTCTCTTCTATAAACAGACATAATTTCTTGTTCAGTTACAAAGTTCCGGTGTTCAAGTCCATAGTCGAGAATATCGACTAATTTGTCAATCGAAATTTTTTCGTTTTCAATAACCTCTGTGTCACTTTCTTCACTATCGGAAGCGAATTATAATGACGAGGAATTTGATTTAAATCATATCAAAGACGGAGTACATCGAGATGAAATACTACATTTAGTAGGAATTAAAGCCAAATAAAATAAAACATCTGCCCTGAAGATAAGATAAGATAGCGCTGAGAGATCAACTTCCAATTCATTGCGCGCTGCTGTCCCCCCCCCCCCCCCCCCCCGCAGAGCAGCATGAATTGATTGATAAACAGATTTCGAAATGGTTAGAAAAAGAAAGGATATGCCTTTATCCATTTTTTGCAGTAATTCCACTTTTTGTTTAATGGACTTCGAAACATACTTTCGCTTTGTAGATCCTTTACATATTAGTAAATATATATCGGAAATTCTATTTCACATAATCGAAAGTTCAAGCTTACTTTTATAAAATTGCTCTAACAGTCTGCAAAAATTAATAAGCCGGATCCAATTCGAAGATTAAAGAACAACGCAGTCGGCAACATTAACTGAAATAGATAATTAGATAGCTTTAGCTTATACCGTCCGTATACATGAATGCGCATGCATAAACGATTATGCATACATAGACATGTGTAAAACGTGCGCATGTTAGAAAGTGCATGCGCACACGCATATTTGCGCAGTCATAAAGGTCTTATGCGCATGCGTAAACGCCTATGCTCATGTGTCAACGCGACGCATGCGCAGAAAGTTTGTAGCTTTGAGGTCCGGATTATGGGTGTCCGAATTAACGACTTTTGACTGTATCGATATTCACTCATTTCTGTCATTTTTCGTGCCCCAATGGTAAAATAATGAATGACATAAAAAATAATACAACACGCATGTGCTGGAAGGTTAAGCAAAATATTTGCCACTTGGGATTTTCCATGTGCATAAGGTGAGGATGAGTCCATTTCCAGTAAAGAAGTCTCTACAAAGACAACTCTTTTGCTAATGAACTTTTATCATATTTTTATATCTCACACACTCATAGTTATGTATCTTGAAACACATAACATTTTCTTTACATGCTAACAGTCACTCATTTAATTCTTCATTCTGTTTTAATGAAGGGAACAAAGAAAGTGTTAGATGAAACTTTTAACTAGTTTCTCAGTAAATTTTGGCTTATCAAGTAAGTATATCTTGCATTATTTCAACCAGATTCAAAGCTTATTAAATTTAGTGTTACAGTATATATTTCTTGCCTTAGTTCTAGATAAGTTACACGTTAAATATTTTGTGCAGAATACATATTTTCTAGATGTTAATAAAATGTTTCTTTATTATAACTAACTGATGGTTTACATGTGTCAGCAGAGAGAGTGGTAAAACTTTGGGTTAGTCTATATTTTAAGGTGCCCCCTGGATTATCGCCAAGTTATTGTTCCATTTGTGGTAACCTGAGTCGTTGAATGTTATGGAAACCCTATTAAGACATGATTGGTTGCATGACTGTGTTGAATTTGACTGGGGAAAATATTTGTAAGGTCGTATTTCTGCATTTGGATGTCAATTAGGAAGTACATTGCTTATTTTGTGCATTACATCGTAAAAGACGGTATAGTGGTTAGGGAAGCCTGACTGCGATACTGAAGGGCCTGGGTTCGAATTCCAGAAAAGGCATGGTTTTAACTGTCCGTCCCTTCATAGGAGGTAATGGTGGCTCACCTATTGGGTGCCTCCATAATAACTAGACTACCAAATCTGGCCTTGTATAGATTAATGGACTGTGTTACACTGTAACTGTTCACAATCTGCCATTGGAAAAAAAAAAAAAAAAAAAAAAAATCGTAAAATGGCTATTTGACTGGTGTGCAAATGGAGGTTTTTCTTAGTAGTCATTTTAAGTATTATGTCTATATGAAGGAAATGCATATGGTCGAATGTATCATTCATATGGCTTTGTCTGAAGAAAGTTTCATGCAAGGAATGCCATAGACAGTCCGTGGATATTTTTGACTCTTTATTTTTGTAAATTTATGTGGCAACACCAGTATACAGACTCTAGTTCAGATAATTTTAGGAAGTTTTTAGATGCTTTTAAGGAATTTTGTGTGCCACACAAATTTCTAAATAAGGTTTAAGTGTATATTTCCTTTGTGTAGTGCATAGATGCAATATATTTCCTTTTCTATGTTACGTCATTGTTTGATTTAAAATTCAGTTTATTGAGATTATATATCTTTTGTTTGGCTCTAGAGTAGAATTGGGTGCTCCTTTGATTTTTAAGTAAAAATAGACTGATGTGCACATGGCTAAAGGAAGTGCACAATGGATTTTGTGCAATTTTCTGATGTTTTTTTTAAGCGAAAATAGATTGATGCGTACATAGGCATCGAGTTTGTATAATTCTTTGACTTGTTATTTTGGTTTTGTGTAGTGGCCATCTTGAAATTATGCCTTGCTGGCCAATCACCAATTTTCGCCATGAGGCACCCTAAAATATATATTTACCAAACTTTGAAATAATCTGCTTCATATTCATAATGATTTCTCATAACAAGAGCACTAAGGTTTCATTTTATCGTGAAAATGTTTCTAGATGTTCGCTATATACAAAGCTTATGTTATATGAATACTCTCTGTGCAAAATTTCATGGTGTTAATCACTGAAAGGTTTCTTTTATGTAATGTTATAGCAAGTTATTTGCAGATCAGTTTGGTCAATTTGTTGACTTTAAGAATATTATGCAGCAAGATAAGTTTTTAATGTATAAGGAAGTTTGTTCCATACATGGGATAAAATACAGAATCGCCCACTTATATGGCATGTATCGATGGACAATGTCAAGGGAGTGCACAATGCCAAGTTTGTGCAATTCTCTGATTTTTTTTTAAAGTAAAAACAGGTCAATATGTACATGGATACCGAGCTTGTGCAATTCTTTGGCTTGTTATTTTCAAGTTGGCAATTTTAAAAAACGTGCAATGCAGTAGGTAATTCTGCACTTCCCCCCATACATGATCTTAGTACTAGAGATAAGTTCTTGAGTAACGTACAAGTAGCATACCTCAAGGATTGGTCTGAAAGATTCCTAAAGCCCTATATTCTGAAACATTATTAAGAATACATAATTTTTTTTCATGTGTCAAAAGTTGCCAATTTGTTTGTCAAAGGATATAAATTAACTGAAAGATTATATTTGTCATGTACATAACTCTGGACCCTAAAAGTTTATAACAGTTACTGTGTTTATATTATACATTCACACAACCTGTACATATTCTGCACCTCATCTTCATACATTTAAAATTTTAAAACCACTATTTTTCTACTTTATAACAACATCAATTTAATACCACAAAATTGAAATGCACATATTATCTTTTCTATAACTCAGCTATGCTTAAAACATATAGAATTAAGATATACACAACACAATATAAAAATTTATATGTATATCTCTGAGAATTTAAAACTCGTATTGCATGCTGACAAATTGTTGTACTTATTTTACAGTTAACAAGTGAAAATAAAAGCTTTCAAATGTAAGTTATTTTAAACGACTAAAAAATATTTTTATGCTAGTGAATTTTTACAATATATCTACAAATTCAAATTTTAAATTTGAAGAAATTACTATTAAATAAAATATTATTTTAGTTTTAATAGCATCGAATGTGTATATATATACTGAAACACTATATTAAAAAAATAAAGTTCATAACGTTATGTAACAATGCATGATTTTTTGGGCGAATCAGATTCTTGTGTCATTTCAGTATTTGCTAACACTATTTCATTTTGGCTATTTTCAGATGACTTAGATTTTGCGAATAATTCCTCCTCTGACTGACATGCTTTTAAAGATTCGACTTTGTCACCGGATGTCTCAGTTCCGATGCATTTATTAGAAATATGCACACTCTCTTTATGAACAGGCTCCGAAGATGTACTTTTGGATGCCACAAACGTTTCAAAACTACCAATTAATTTCGGAAATGCATTTATATTTTCTAAAGTCATAGAAGTTTCGCTTTTCTCAGCGATCCCATTTTTACAATTATTTATATCTAAGTCGCCATCACTAGACGAATCGCCTAAAGCATCCAGTATATACGAAGAAATATCTTTACACTGTTCCGTTTTTTTAGCTGACCTCGTTCTTGTATTAATATGTAATTTTTTGGAACATCTTTTAGCTTTTATCTTGCGTTTCTGAATTTTGCCTTGAGTAGGATCGAACTGCAAATATCGTCTATATTTTCTTACAGAAGTTAGAATTGGTGCTCCATCTTTTGATTCTCTTGGCTCTTCAAAGATGGTTTCTAAATTTTTTTCTTTTGGTGGAATAAAATTTTTATTTTGATACATTTCTTCGATACTAGCATTGTTTTCGCGTTTTTGCCTTTTAATAGCTGACATATTTTCAAATTATAAAAATTATTCACTCATCATGCACTGGAATAACACTGAACAAGATACACATGTATAGTAATAAATGTGTATAAAAGAGTAATAAATGTTTACATCTTTAGTCTTAAATGTGGATCAATCACACAAAAAAATGTTATTATAAAACGATAAGTGAGCAGAAAGCGCATCATGAAAATATCAAATTCCGTGTTTACAAATTTTGGCTAACAATCGATGCCAATCACGCAGTTAGAAAAATGATGCCAACTAAATATATTTTTACTTTGAAAATATGGTTGGACGGAGGTTGTGGAGAAAAAAAATCATTGACAAACATATTTTAAAATTGCTTATCTGCTCAAGCTTTTAAAAATATTACTATTTAAGATTCTGAAACTTCTACCATTTGAGATTGCACGAAACAATTCGGATACATGAATTGCAGATGCTTTTCAACAAGTGGAAGCCTAGACAGTCAGTGTATGGAAATATCATATTGCAAGTGGTTGATTTCAATGAATTTGAAATAGGATTAGGTAAAACAAATGGATGACATTTTAAATTATAAAAAATGCGCAAACGAAGATTATTATAGTATATTAGGCTGTAATGAGTCATCTACTGTAAGTGTGTCACTTAATACTTTAGCTAACTTGTAAGTCTCAGTATTCTTTAGCAGCTAGTATTATTGTTGTCGGTCGGGATCTAACCCATTGATTCTTATTGTTCTTTATATTCTGCCACCTTTTCTGACGCGTGATTAATTTCGGTGACCATTAAAACAACTTTAAATAGCTTGTGTAGTATTTACCACGCAAGTTAGAAACAAAAGTATTTGCTTTCAGATATACAGTAATTACTTAGGGGCAAAATTTTCAGCAATACAGAATTTTATGAAATATGCAATCCATTACATTTATGATATATATTAATGTATCATTTAGGTTCTTAAACTATACCTGTAATGCATGTATGAACCAGCAGATCCTTTTATGGTATACACAATGTATTTAACATAAGAAAAATATATGTTGGGTGCAATCTTTCAGGCCCATGCTAATTTGTGAGTTTTCTAACTTCAGGCTCAAAGTTAGTGATTACAAATATTACTTCAATTTATGAGGTCAAGTATCGTAAACTTTGATAGTGTAGATGACATATGAGGCAAAATTCAGTTTCGAGTATATTGTTAAAAAAGCAACGCTTTAGAACTTTGTTTCCTGCCCAAGTAGTGAATATTTCCTATTGATCATTAGTTTTCCATTTATTATGCTTCTCATTTTTGAGTCTTACGGGAGCTGTTTTATTACTGCAGATGAACGAGATTATACTAAATATTTCTTGGTAAAAATATTGGGGTGCCCTTGGCGAAATTTGGCGATTAGCTAGCAAGGCACAATTTTCAAGATGGCCGCTACACAAAACTAAAATAACAAGTCAAAGAATTACACAAGCTCGGTGTCCAGTACACATTAATGTATTTTCACTTAATAAAAACATCAGAGAATTGCACAAACTCAGCATTGTGCACTTCCTTGACTTTATCCATGTACACATCGATCTATTTTCACTTAGAAATCAAAAGAGCACCCAATTCTACTCTAGAGCCAAATAAAAAATATATAATCTTAATTAACAGCATTTTAAATCAAACAATGAAGTAATATAGAAAAATAAATACATCATATTGCATCTAGGCACTACACAAAGGAAATATCCACTTAAACCGTATTTAGAAATTTATGTGGCACACAAAATTCCTTAAAAGCATCCAAAAACTAAAATTATCTGAATTAGAATATGCATACTGATGTCACCACATAAATTCACAAAAATAAGAGTAAAAATTATCCTCTGTAGTGCCGGACCGTCGGTGGTATTTTTTCCATGCCCTTTCTTGCAACAAAGCCATCTGAAAGATCTTAACGTTCGACCATGTGCATTTCTTTCGTACAGACAAGATACTTACAATGACTACTAGTAAACCTTCATTTACACATCAGTCAATTACGGCTTTTCTTCCCTTTCATTCCAAATTTTACAGAAACTTCAAAGTTATCTTCTCAACAGGCATTTACCATATAAAGTCCAAAATAAGCAGCATACTTCCTGACCAACATCCAATACATAAATAAGCCCTTAAAAATATTTTCCCATCAATCAAATTCACTGTAATCATGCAACCAATCACATCATAATATGATTTCCATAACATTCAACTGCTCAGGTTACCATAAATGAAACAACAACTTGGTGGTAATCCATGGATCACCCTACAATATTGACTAACCTCTTCCTACAAGCAGGACACTTATAATGGCTATTAAGTAAACCTTCATTTTCACACCAGTCAATTAATGCTGTTTTTCCCTTTTGTTCCAAATCATACAGAAACTTCAAATTAATCTTGCCATATTCAGCCATTCTACCATCTAAATATGGTTTGTACAGTCCTTAAGAGTTCTTAAAAGTCCTTAGATATTTTGGAATCGATTTTTGGACCTTAAAAGTCCTTAATTTGGGACAAAATCAGCAGAAGGTCCTTAAATTTAATCATCTGAATTTTCTGCCTGTTTTTATGACTGCCATTTTGAGTGTGAATTAGCATTTTGGAGGAATATTTTTGGTGATCCACAGACATATACAGTGTCTCACAAAAGTGATGGGACACTTGTGCTTTACAAAAGGAAACTGCAATAAAATAAATTAAAAAAAACATGTAAAATTTTTTGTGGGTGTGTTTCATACTTAAATTTAGTAACAATTATTACATAACATACATTTTCTCAAAATATTAAAATATTAATTTAATAAAAATACAATGTTTTAGAACGGAGCAAAAAATGGCTCACATAAGTGATGGGACACTTACTTTTCTATCAAATATTTATCCAAAAATTTTACTTTTTAAAAGGTTTTAATATTTTCTTGGATTTCCTTTTACTTTTAAAACACGATTTAATCTTCTTGGGATGGGTTCGACTAATTTTTTTTTTGTGATTTCTGAAGTGATTTTACCCCATTCTTCTTGAAGCACCGATTTTAATTGATGTTTTGAAGAAATGGTGTGTTTGCGAATTCTTGATTCCAATTTCTTGCCAAATATTCTCTATGTGATTTAAGTCTGGAGATTGTGGTGGTGTTTTTATTATTCCAGGACAGTTATACAGCAGCCAGAAGAGTCTAACGTTCAGAGCAGTGTGCTTGGGGTCATTGTACTGGTAGAATTTAAAATCGTTATGAAGGTTTAATTTTCGTGCTGAAGATTTCAAATTTTTATTTAAAATGTCAATATACTTGTACTGATCCATTATACTGTCAATAAAAACAAGATTACCAACTCCAGTGGACGACATACACCCCCATACCATAACTCCTCCTCTACGATGTTTTACTGTTGGCACCAAGTTCTGTTTGCGAAATTTTTCCCTGGGTTTTCTCCACACCAAGATTCTACCGTCAGAACCAAATATATTAAATTTACTCTCATCAGTAAATATAACTTCAATCCAGTGATCAGAATTCTTATTTTGATGTTGGATTTTGCGAAAGCCAGTCTGAGTTTTCTATTCTTTTCACTTACGAAGAATTTTTTCCTGGCTGCTCTACCGTGATATCCAGTAGATCGAATTACTCTTCTAATAGTCTCAGAATTAACAATTACTCCATATAATTCATGTAAATCAGCAGTAACTTTAGGAGCACTCATTCTTGGATTTTTTTTAAATATTTCGAACGGTAATTCGCTTTATTCCATTGGATAGCTTTGATGGTCGGCCAGGTCTTCTTTTATCCTGAATCATATGATTCTTTTTATATCATTTAATGATATTGAAAACTGTTGAATGACTGAAGTTAACTGTTTCAGCAGTTTCTCTAATAGATTTTCCACGTTCAATATGCAAATTAATAACTAATTTTCGAATTTCAGGCAAATTTTCTTTTCGTTTAGCATTCATGGCTGCACAGAGCTAAAAAACACAAAAATTCCAAAACAAACTAGAGAGAAATACTGCAGATGATTTTATAAATTATTGCCAATTGCTTTTGAATAAAAATAAATACCCCAAAAGATATTTTTATTGCTTACTTCAGATGATTTTTGTTGCATGGTACGTAGTGTCCTATCACTTATGTGAGCCATTTTTTGCTCCGTTCTAAACAATTGTATTTTTATTAAATTAATATTTTAATATTTTGAGAAAATGTATGTTATGTAAAAATTGTTACTAAATTTAAGTATGAAACACACCCACAAAAAATTTCTACATGATTTTTCAATTAATTTTATTACAGTTTCCTTTTGTAAAGCACAAGTGTCCCATCACTTTTGTGAGACACTGTATGGTTATATTTGAATGGGTTATAATTTGTTTCTGTTTCTAATATAAATGATGGGATATTCAAGTTTCTAAGCAATAAGTGAAACATTTCAAAATTCATTTTTTCTAATAAAGAGCTCTTAAACAACTTTTCGCTTTGGAGATGTGAATTTTTTTATTAAATGGTTTTAAATTTGGCGACTTACCAACATTTTGGCGATTTTAAGATCAGTTTCTATAGAAAATATTTGATTCCGAGATCTGAGAATTTTTTGATCTTTTCTTTAAAATATCGTAGCATTGATAATATAAAGTTTCACTTTGGCAACTTATTATACAATATTTTGAATCTGAAAAATAAACAAGGTATAATGCTATAAAGCACAATTTATGAAACAGTTCTTAGCAAAAGCAAAATTAGCTATGTAATTAAAAATGTCTTCTATCTTTAATTTTTTCATAGTAAGAGGTTTTCCCATTTAATTGTCTCAGACTATGCATCAGTTTTCTCTATAAAATTAATTTTACGCTTTTCCCCCAAAAAAAATATTTCTGACTTTTTGCTGTTACACAATTGGTAGGTGTAATTTTTCTTTAGGATTTAAGCATTGCAGCTTAGAAAGTTTAGAAGGATTAGAAAGCAAGATTTATAGGCCCACGACTCTAGAATATTCGAAAACTATGTCATGAAATGAAAAAATGCCAACACGTAATAGATGCATTTTACAGAAAGTTTGCAATGAATTTCTTACTTTTTGGAGAACATCTGGAAGAACAATGGAAACATAATATTTGAATATTTTACTTCTGATAGTAGAATCTTATTCTTAACATATTTAGCTTCCCTTTATTTTCTCTACTTTTCACTAGGCATAAATATGGTAAATATCAAATATTACCACATGGGCAGTCATTATAGAAAGAGATTTTTCTATTAATAAAGAAATTAAAAACTTAAAATATAAAAGATTGGTCTAATATGTCTTAATGCATCATACACAGAGGGCACTAGGCATTTTCCCACATGATGCAATCTCTGTGGGTTGTAAATTCTGCTGCCCAGTGCCTTTCTAAATTCTGCTTCCAACCCCAGCTGTGGATTCTAAATGTTTTGCCATTTCTAGATTTTGTCCCGTGTGTCACTAAATTCTAAAAATTCTTCCACACCAGCTCTGTAACCGGCCATTACCATATATATTTCATATTTCTTCTGAATATTCATATAACTAAAGAAATAAAATTAGCCGCCACCTTTTTCTATACATTCTAAATGCATTTAGTGTTTTTTAGAATAAAAGAAA